TGGAGGACTCTGAGCAGGGGGAGTCAGGGGGGCTAACGACTCCATGCGGTCCTCCAGTCGGGCGCAGCGACTGTGGAAATTCTGGAAAGCCTGGGTCAAAGTTGCCAGGTGCTGGCAAATATCCTCTAGGGACGCTGGTCCACTTCCTGGCTCTGTCATGGCCGCAAGGTACTGTTATGATCCGCCAGGTGGTGCCTCAGGCTGCCAACTGACAGACCTACCCAGAGCGTGGGGTCTAAGCCCAGGCTGTGCTTTCACCAGGGCCCCTGATGGTGAGGATGGACTTGAAACAGTCCCGGACCAGGTCACGACCTCTGAGCAGGCCCACCAGTGGCGGAGGAGACCTCCGGGGACGTATGCAGGTACCGGAGAGCCAGATGTGAAGCGGATGGCGGCCCCAGCAGGGTAGTAACGGATCGTGGTCCTGTGGGGGTAAGCGAGGTACAGAATCGGCGGGCAAAGAGTAGTGGGTCACACGCAGGGTCAGCAGGGTAAGTCAGTCCGTAGAATGGTCAGGGCAATCCGGGTCAATCACAGGAGCAGGCAGAGTAGTCAGGGCAATCCGGGTCAATCACAGGAGCAGGCAGCGTAGTCAGGGCAATCCGGGTCAATCACAGGGGCAGGCAGCGTAGTCAGGGTCAAACAGGGTCACAAGACGGGTGCAGGAACTCGGAATCACAGATAGACTTTGCGGCAATTACTGACAGTGCAGGGCATCTTTAAATAGTGCGCCCTGCACTGTCATTGGCCGCCCAGGACGCGCCCCCGGGCTGTCATTGGCCGCCCGAGGCGCGCCCGCGGCTCGCCGGGACCTGGTGCCTGTGTCCCGGCATGAGCCGTCGCCAGCGCGCATGCGCCGGCCGAGAGGACGCCGCGATCCCTGACACAAACGTTTTAGTGAATGTTAATGAAAAAAAGTAAAAAAATTATATGCAAGCACTTAAAAATTTAGATCCCACCCCGCCCCTATGTATGTGCACACAGGAATAAAAATGCACCTGTTGGGGTACCTGTATGAAAACATTGCTTGTGATACAGGTTACATATCGTTGTGCATGCCAGAGTGAGAGCAATAATTCAGGGGTTAATTAATCACAGTTCATTCTAAACTGATGACCTGCAGGGACCTTTAAAGCGTCATCTATGAAAACCGCTTAGATGTGTTTTCCTAGCGAACACATTATACAGTGTCTTTATTCAACCTTACCAACATGTAACTATTAAAAAGACTGGCCAAGGCCAACTTTTGTTCTTTCATAGTACTCAAGGCTAGATATTAGTCCAGACCAGATTGGAGGAAAGAGAGAATGCATTAATCAGACAACTTTCTAGGGTGAAAGTTTCTTTGACATGTGCCAAGCAAAGTAGGCCTTACAGGTTGATTTTGGACTTGTGAGAAGCCTCTAGGAGGGTAGGGATAACAGAATCCAAATGTGCCTGTCCCTCAGGACTGTAATTTCAACACAAAAGCCAGCAACTGAGAAACAGTATGAAACATTGGCTCCTGGAACAGTAGAAGTTCAAAACAAAAACAAGGTGCTGCAACCTTATCCAACAGGTCTTCAGGCTAAAGCTTAAACATTACCGTGTAAGACTAGCAGTCCCCATCTGCTTGTACATGAACATCCAAATCACTAAAAGTCAAGGTAAAAATCTCTTCTTTATTATTCCAAGGAGTAAAACGTGTTTCTGTCATAAAAAGACTTTACTCATACCTTCATCTTGTTGCTGACTTCTAGTGATTTGAATGTTCTTGGAACAGTAGGTCCTGGTGATCTTGAAGGGCCCTTGCAGCATCTGCCAGGAGTCTGGTTATATTTGAGTACCAAATCTCCCTGGGTTGATTAGTGCAAGGAGAACCACCAGAATCCTGTGGAGTGGTCAAAAGCAAATCTAGAGTGGTGGAAAAGCTAAACAGATCCCACAGAGTCACCAGAGCATCTGCTGCAAAGACCAGAGGGTTCTTTGACCTAGCAAAAATTCTGTCTACTTAAATCTGGACATCAGCAAATCCACATCCACCACCCTCCCTCTATGGCAAAGGGTGCAGCTTCTGGCATTGTCCAATTGCATTCTTGTTTGGTGTCCTCGCGGGGGAGTCGAACATTGAAGGAACAACTGAATTACTCTGAGTTCCAGAATGTTGATGTAAAAATTAGCTTGTGTTGACAACCAAGTACCTTACACCGAGAAGGCTTCCAGGACTGCTTCCCTGGCCAACAGGATGGCATCTGCTGTGACAGCCTTCCACGACTGTTGAGGAAAGCGATTCCCTAACTTCAAGACTGGGTTGGAAATCTACCACACTATGGAAAGTTGGTCCTTGAAGGCCAGATGCATGAAAAAGATCAAGTGTGTCTAATTGTTCCACGTTGCCAGAATGCTAAATCACAACAGTCCGGAATGAAAGTGGGCATACGGCACAGCTTCAAACGATGTAACCATAGGACTCAAGACCCTTATACAAACTCATATCTACAGGATCAGGGCTTGAAAGCGAATTGACACAAGTTTGTCCCAATTCAGGAAGGTACTTGGGTATCATCTGCTGGATGTTAAGTAACAGAGACAGGGAGATCATCCAAGTACCTCAAAAATTGGGACAAGCACCTTGGTGAAAACCTGGCATCCATAGACAAGCCAAAAGTGAAGAGTGATACATGGGTAGATCTGATCATCCACAGCAAAACACAGATAGTGTTGACGTGGCCTAAACATGGGAATGTGCAGATAAGCATCTTGGATGTCTTTTGAGGCCAGAAAAAAACCCATAAGAAGGGGAGGCAATGACCGACCTGACATTTCCATGAACAACCTTTGAACCTGCAAAAACAAGTTGAGAATCTTCATATCCAGAGTGGCCCAAACTCCTCCATCTGGTTTTGGAACTGTAAGGAGGTTTGAGTAAAAACCCCAAAAGAGTTCTTCTAGTTGCACAGTGACATTGACCGATTTGAGAAAAGAGCTGGTGGACCACAACAAGCATATTTGCTTGATGTAACGGGGAGAGAGGATAGTTTGGGGAAGTGTAGAGTCTACAACTCCAGTTTGTAGCCCCTGGAATTGACACTCTGGACCCAGGTGTCTAAAGTTCAGGGGCCAGAAGAACAAGAAAGCTGACAGTTGTTCCTCACCACAGGAAAAGGGTTTGGAACCAGACTTAGGTGGTTTCGATGGCCATGTCTTTCTACAAAAAATGATCTTAGCCTAAATTTTTCAACTGGATTCTTGAAAGAGAAGAAAGAAACCTTTTTTACTACAGGAGTGGACCCTGCTGGTAGAAAGGCTGAGAATCATTTTTCTGGGAAAGATTACGCTGCAAGTGCATGGGCCATACAGGTGCCTGCATGCCGCAAGGTGAGTTCACCTTGGCACAGTAGGGCCAGTATGATGCAGCAACGTATTAAAGTGGTAGTAAAGGCTTTTATGAAGAAAAAAAACCCTTGCAAGTTAAGAGAATAATGTGCTAGTATGCACCGCAAACTAGCACATTATGGAAGACTTACCTTAAGGGCTCATGTACACGGGGCGTTTGGAAAACTCTTCTGAATGATGGAAACTGACTGCTGGAAAAACGAGGTTAAAAAACGTCAGTTTAGCCTTGTTTGCATACCGCGTTTAGCCGTGTTTATGTGCGTTTGCGTTTAGAAGCGTTTTTAAAAGATAACCTCAGGAGACCTTCCCAAATGCCCAGAATGCACTGAAAAATAGTAAATAATTAACTAATTCAGACATTTTGAGAGAAACAAAGAGAGCAGAAATAGTGAGAGCAGTATGTGTTGAGATTACCTGTCTCTTCTGGTTGCATTCACTATGGATCCCATCATGAGCATAATGCAGCACGTTCCACCATTTTTTCCTTCACACGAAACCTGGAACTGACTGCACTGGTGTAGTAGGTCAATTTGAATACATGGAAAATGCTTTGCATGCATTTCTGATGATGAAAAAATGCTCTGGACAGCCTCTGGATATGGAACAGTTAAAAAACGCTCTAAACGCAAACGCTTCTAAATGCAGCTAACCGCATTTACACGCATTTGAAACGCCAGTACAATCTACTCCTGAACGCAAGTTTGGTGTGTTTAAAAAAAATGACTGTAAACTCAAGTGCCTGTAAACGACTATGTGTACATGGACACATAGGAAAACATTAGGGAGAGTACAGGGTCTGCTGAAAAAAACGCTGAACAGATCCTAAACGTCAGTTTAGCAGCTGCAGTGTACATGAGCCCTAAAAAAAGTCCTTTGACACCGCTGACAGGGCTTCCATCTTCACCCAGTCTTCCTTCCGGGTTCGCAGGCTCCAGCTGTTTGGAAACTGGTTGAGGCGCGATGACGTCCCTCCCGCGCATGCGCACAGGAGCTACAGCTACCCCTTCAAGGTGCAGTGCGCTGGAGACGGCACCAGCTGCAGAAGTAGTGATATATCTATTAACCCCTTAGTATTCAGTCTGTAGAGCATGTGCATTTACCTCTCAGTGTCCTGTCTCCATAATATATACATTAACCTTTTTTGTTGAAAATAAAAATAGCTTTGCTTTTAATATAGAATTTAAAAAGAACACAGGATGTGGAAAGTCCAATGCATAAACATGCATGCCACACTATATTAGGTTAAATATGCACATCGCTTCCTACAATAACCCATCATCCCCCAGACTAGATGTTTTTTTTTTCCCTCTCTCTATGCACACCTGCAGACTGGTGGCAGATCACTTTACAATGGTATTCATTTGAGATATAATGTATATATTCAGCAAATATCTAAAATCAAGCAGTACTACAATAAAAGTTGAAAGCATAATAATAAAAAAGTATTTAATCATCACAAGTTTAAAAACCTTGTTTCAACATACATCTTACAAAATGTTCCTATGGGACTGAAATGTTTTGTTCAAATCTCTTTAACATAATCTAAACAACCTTACATTTAACTTAAACTATTTAAGGCTTTTTGTTTTTTGCATTTCCTCTTCTTCAAATGTCTTCTAACTTCTGTTTTACTTCTAAAAAACATCCCGCAAGCAGCACACCCGAAGGGCCGAACCTCTGTGTGCAACCGTTGATGCATTACGAGGTGATATTTTCTGCCGAAACCCTTCCCGCACTCCGAACATGTAAACGGCTTTTCTCCAGTATGAACACGCTCATGTTCTACAAGACGTGCCCTGTCCACAAAAAACATCTCGCAAAAACGGCATGTTAGCACCTCTCCTGTGTGATAACGCTGGTGGGAAACAAGGTGGGACTTGTATGCAAACGTTTTTCCACATTCTAGACAGACAAATGGTTTCTCTCCAGTGTGAACTCGATAATGAGCTTTAAGATTTCCTTTGTAGAGGAACTGCTTTCCACATTCGGTACAGGTGGCCTGGCTTTGGAATTTATGATGGCTCTTTATGTGGTCCTCCAATTCTTGCTTGGTTTCAAAGTCTTCTTTGCATGTCGGGCATCTGTAATAACATGCCTCTAGGCAGTAGCGTTGCTGGTGAACAGCTAGGGTACCCTTGGTGGAAAACCATTTGTGGCACTGAGAGCAGCTGAAAAGTTTGACTCCTGTGTGACTGCTCTGGTGAATCTCAAACTGGTGTTTTGTTCGGAAGATTTTATCACACTCTGTGCAAGAATAAATCTTTTTCTGAGTATGAAGCTGGTGATGGATGTCTAGTTTCCTCTTACTGGAAAAATAGCACCCACATTCGGAGCAGATAAAGTTTTCTTCTGTGTTGCAATTTTCTGCTTTGTTCGAATCGGCAGCCTGGACACTTTCTTCGTGACTGGAAATGTTTTTTTCCCCATTCTTTACAGATCCCCTTTCACCTACACTGGCTGTTCTGCTCTGGGTGGAATTCACAACAAATATGTTTTTGCTTCTATCTTCTAAATGACGAGAAGGAAAGGAATATCCATCAGACTTATAGGCAAGTAGATCCCCTTTTAGGAAAAAGAACAAGAAATGACATTATAAATTCTCTGTGTCAATTATGAATGGTCTGTTGGTTCTAAAATAACTCTGTATAGAAATCAGAAGTGAACATCCACAAAATGAGGTTAGGTGCAGCTGTGCCATCTTTCTGTGATTTGTAAAAAACAAAACCTGCATTGAAGGTTACAAAGCAAATGAGGAAGGCCCTTAGTATGGACTTGCATTGTGTGTAATTGAATTTGAAAATGCACTTTATATCGACATGGGATATTGATAAATAGTAATCGTCTTAATCCCCGCACCCGACTGCTAGCCGGATCCTTCTCCACCAAGCGTCCTTTACTTCTTCCCTTTTTCTTTTCTTTTCCCCAATCTCTATTCTCACTCCTCTCTCTCTCTATTTCATTTCTCCTTTTTTTTTCCCCCCAAGTCCCTTCTCTGGTTTTGGACACAGTTAACCAAGCACCACCTTATGGCCAGTCGAACATTTGAGGGTGATTGCCCCCTTATACAGGTCCTGATGGTCTAAGACACTAGACTTGATTAAACAGTTTTACATTAGATTTAGTTTTTTCTGTTATCTTATTGCTGCAGGTCCTCCATCTACAGGTCCCTATGGGACCCCTTTGGTCACCATCAACAGATAATTGTTTTGAAATATTGTATTTTCTGCATTGTTTGTTTCAGCCTGATAGGGCTGCAGTTTATATGGGGGGGGGGGTGGAAATGGATGTACATTTTTCTGTACTGGTTTGTAACTTCTTTCATATGGAAAAAACAAATAAACACTATTGAAAAGAAAATGCACTTTATTTCCCATTTCTTTGTTGAGTTTTTCTGCTTTTTGCTCAGTGTAAGCTGCAGTGATACCTCCAGCTTATACAAAGGATCTCAGTGTCAACTGGAGAGGCTAACTGCTTGATAAAAACTACATGAGCAAAGTTCACTTTAAAGAATATGATCACCTTTCGTAACGTCTTCGGGGGATCAGGAAGGAATTTTTTCCCCTGCAGGAGCAAATTAGATCATGCTTTGCTGGGTTTTTTGCCTTCCGCTGGATCAACAGTGGGTGCAGGATTATAACTCTTTCTTTTTTTATGGTTGAACTTGATGGACTTTTGTTTTTTTTTTTTTCCGCCAGACTGACTATAACTATGTAATGATGTTACACCCATATTCAGCCCCCCCCCCCCCCCTTGCGACAGCTAGCAGGAGATCTTCTCCCCCTGCTAGCTGTCACAATTAAAAAAAAAAACCTGGCCGTGCAGGGCTCCGCCCAACTGTACAGTACTCTGTGAATAGGAAACTAGAAGTCCCAAGAGCCTTTACAGCTGTTGGCTTGGGGTTCTCAATGAACTACCAAGGTGCTGTGGAGCACTCTGGTAGTTCATTGATTCATCCTGTCAGAGTTTATCTGCTTGCCCATACAAGGTACGAGATCTGCAGGAGTCCTGCATGGCACCAGTGATCTGCTCATTGCTGGTGCAATCCTTTATAGGCTCCCAAAACAAAAAAAAGTAAAATCAAATTTGTTTACCTGCAAATAATGTTTATTTATTATTTGATATAATGTGAACTTCTTCTTTAAGGATAAGTTCACCTTTGGAATAGGTTACTTGTCCCACCAGTTTTTAGGGTGGAACATGTAACATGTTTCCCATAGCCACAGCTTCACTCGCTGCCCCCTCCCTCTGACAGAGAGTACGAGAAGTCTCCCCATACTATCAGATTTGAAAATAGCATGGCTCAGCCCACACGGATGCGTCACTAGTTCACAGAGTTCTGTGAATGGGTGCCTACAAGTCCCAGCATCCTTAGCTGCTGTCTGCTTGTAGTTTGAAATGAACTACCGTGGCGCTGTGGTAGTTCGTTGAAGATTCCTGTCAGAATATCAGCTTGACCGTACATCCCATACAGCAAGCAGATATTCTGACAGGTCTGCAGGAGACCTGCGTGGCATCAGTGATTTACTGATCGCTGGTGCAATGCTTTACAGGCTCCTTTTGACAAAAGTAATATATGCACTTTTTTTGCCTGCAAAAAAATGTGCATTTATTATTTTTGTCCAAAAGGTGAACTTCTCCTTTAAGCCTTCCATTCACAGGCATTCTCTGTACATTCAACAGCTTGACAAATGTCATTAGAAAATACAGTACTCAAACACTGAGTTTGCTTTTAACATTTGATTTTTGAATGAATGGACTTGCCAGAATGAAAACCACACACAACATTAGAAATACTTTTGAAAATGTGTTATTACACGAAACACGTCAGTGAGACCCCCCTGTTAATGGATTACTGACTTGCCATACTCTGCTTTATTCATGGATGTAAGTGTCCGTTTTTTACTGTGTTTTTTGATTGTTACTCCCCATATTTAATAAATACTACACTATTGGAGCTTTTTCTCTCTTCTGGGCTCATTTTTTGGGATACTCTGAGCCCCCCTTCCTTCAAGGTGCACCATAGTAGGCGACTCACACTTAAGTGTATCAGTCCCCCGGTGGCTGAAATTGGTACTACAAGATGCATCTAATCTGATGAATATACATTATACTGGAATGAGGAAATCTGCCCTGGTCTGATGACATCTGGTGACTCAACTCCACCTGACCACTTCACCTGTCTGCAGAGTTCCCGCTTCCAGAGCACCTTGGAGTAGGTCTTATTTACTCCAAAGCACATAACTTTGTGCTATCTGGTTAGTGCATTGTATACTCATTCTTCACAAGCCACGGAAGTCACAATAACTCAACAGCCATCTAGTGAACCACGATTATCACATTGCACCTTTTTGATTATTACCTTTAAGACTTTCGCACATTTATCATTACTTTGTATGTGTTAAAATATTGCCATCAGGAAAATCATCTCAAGCCCCAGGTAGTAAGATGACCTGAAAAGGGTTCTAACCATTCCTTACTCCACGCACAGAAAAATAGGGTTTTTGTACTCCCTGTAAAATCCTTTTCTTGGAGACCATTGGGAGGCACAGGAAGTCCAGTTATACTACTGCCTACAGGATGAATGAACACTGGGTAAGCAAAAAAAATGTAGGGATAACCTCTCCTACGACCAGCATGCATTGGTGTTGGATTTTAAAAACATATAATACTTCTTTAGTGTCTTGAGGCAATTATGAATGAAAGAGCTGTTGAAATAAAAAATAAAGTGTGATTTTATTTTATCACACAATGGCTTAAAATAACAATGTAAAGTGTATCATGAACAGTTCCATGTAGATAAAACTAGAAATATCAAGCAGAAGTTTAAAGAAAAGTCACCATTATTGTCATGGCTGTCCGGCCATGTGCTGTTCTGTCCTTCATGTGATCTTGTCTTGTACAACACAGCTGAGTCCGAGTAAGAAGACGGAAGTGACGTTAATGACTATTTCTTGTCTTGTAGCACCTGTTCCAGCATCTCAGAAAGTTCTTATGAACATCCATGTGTGTGTGTGTGTTAGAGTGTCAGTGTTAGCCTGTATCTGTTTGTGTATGAATGTCCTTGTGTCCGTTGTCTCATGGTCTTTTATGAGGCAAGTACACGTCATAGAGGCCTTGTATGGAAATCAGTACTGCTTAGCAAAGCAATTTCATAGAAGGGAGGGTACGCTAGATATATGATGTTTTTGATGGACAGGTACATATGTTGATGATGTAACCTCAACTATCATATTTAAATGATAATATAACTTAAGAATGTATCTTTACAACATATCAATGTATAATCACTAATCTATATATGTATCAATATTAGCAACTTATAAATCATACTAAATACACAGATACTATTAAAATACATTATGTACACTTCTAATACCCTTGACATTTACCAGAGACTTCTAACCAGCTGTGCCTTAATATAGAATACTCAGCTATCAACTGGTTTAGCTAGTCTCAGCTTAACTAACTCATATTTTTCAGTCTCAGCTATAACTGAAGAATTGTAATACTACCATTTGTGAAAGACCATTCACACATATTAAAATTAATTATGATTATTCATAAAAAACAAATATTTTGCAAGCTTGCCATCAATATAAGTGCCGAATCATAAATATGATTAATTAATTTCCTTCAACTGGTTTTAAAGCAAACAGCAACAAGAGCATGACAATAAACACAGAGGGGGGTGGGACCTGTGTCCCTTAAAGGACTCCAAAAAGGATTTTATGGTAAGTATAAAAATCTTATTTGAGTCCACTGTGGGACACAGAAGGTCATAACCAACGGGATGACTAAAAGCAAACTGACTGTGAAGTGAACAACAGCAAACAAATGTTAAAAGGTCCACTAAAAACAGGAAACTGGGGACTGCCTGCAGGTCAAAGAGACACCTGAAGGACCTTACGCTCTAAGATGGCATCAGACGAGGCATGATCATCCACCTGACTTAAAGGGTAAGTGAATCTTGATCAGAAAGTCACCAATTCTCCTTTCTGTCTTACCATGGCTACACATGAATATCCCAGCTACCATTAACAACTACCCTCTGACTGGTTCCACACTAAGGGTGATGGCCACAGTAAATGGTCTCTCTTCTCAAACCACAGGCCTTTCCTTAATGACACCAGTGATGGTCAACCTTCCCTCCCTTCGAGTCAACACAACAAATGGTTTAAACAGTTTCCAAACCAAAACATTTTAGATTGCAGCACTTTCTCTCCCAGGAGAGTCTGCAATCGAAATTCTGTGCTGGCAAGCGATACAAACCGACACTTCCTGGCCACTCTGAAACCACAAAATGAAAATCCCTTACACATTACACATTGGAATCTATCTGCTGAGATTCAG